TTCACGGCTCCACATGTATGGAGGACTTAAAAGTAGTAGAATTAGAGAAAGAGAAAGTAGAAGAGTCGTTGACGGGCGGGGTGGGGGGAGGTGATTGTGGTGGAAATGGGTCGTTACTTAAAGGGGACAGAGTTTCACTTTCACAGGAGGAGAGAGTTTGGAGGTGGCGATGGTTGCACAACGATGGGGATGTCTGACACCGTCGAACTGCACATTGAAACGTGGTTAACGTGGTTGGTTTTATGTTCTGTGTATTTGACTGCAGTTTTAAACGTTGGGAGGAAAAAGGCTCAAAGAAGGTAAAACATGGGAAGATGACATGCAAAAATTAAAATAGCTGTGTTAGGAATGTGTGCTTTCATAAGCATGATTTTAAACATTTCCATATTGTGATACAGCTTTTATAAGAAAAAGGCAGCACTAAGAGAGGAAAAACATCAAGAAAAAATTTTTGAGATATTTTGATATTTGCCCAAAAAAGCATCCACATGTATTGGGGGAAAACCAGAAATTTGTTTAACGTCCTGACACTTGTTTTATTTATAATTAACTATTGTTTAATTTTTTTGGGGGGGTTACAGATCATTGGGGCCCATAACCTTTTCAATGCTTAATACCTCTAAGAGCTTTACGCAGGGCTCGGGCACGGCCAGCTCAGTTTTCCGGCTGAGGGAACCGTGCTGGGGCGGGCGGCCACTGCGCCCGCAGCTCCCCCACAGGCCTGTCTGTGTGGCGACTCAAGTCTCAGCCGCTTTTATTAAAATTCCTCCCTATGTACCTGGGACAATGGCCACGGTTTTGCCTTTGAGCTCCAAAGTAAGGTTAATTTGTGGTTGGTGGGGTTTTTTACAAACGTATTTTATTGTTTATGCCAGTAGAGTTGTCCCGATTTTCGCCTTTTGCCCACCTCTGCCCGGCGCCACCCCCTCCAATGGCATCCCCCCTCCTTAGTTCATGTCCCTGAGTCACACATGTGAGCTCCCTGGCTTCTCTGTTTCCTATACTGTTATTAACACACCTCTGTCTATTTTGTGCCTACAAATTATGCTGCTTAATCCCTGTACCTTCCCCCCCATTCTTCCCCTTTGCCCTTCACAGCTGATAACCCTCCAAAAGCTCTCCGTATCTATGATTCTGTTCCTGTTCTATTTGTTTGCTTAGTTTGTTTTTTAGAGTCAGTTGTTGATCGTGGTGAATTTGTTGCCATTTTAATGTTCATAGTTTTGAGCATCTTCTTTTTCTTAAATCCCTTTAACATTTCATGTGATAAGGGCTTGGCGATGAAGAACTCCTTTCGCTTTACCTTGTCTGGGAAGTACTTTATCTGTCCTTCCATTCCTAACGAGAGCTTTGCTGGATAGAGTAATCTAGATTGTAGGTCCTTGCTTTTCATCACTTTGAATACTTCTTTCTAGGCCCTTCTTGCCTGCAAAGTTTCTTCTGAAAAATCAATTGTCAGTCTTACAGGAACTACTTTGTAGGTAACTCTCTGCTTTTCTCTTGCTGCTTTTAAGATTCCTTTATCTTTAACCTTTGGCATTTTAATTATGATGTGTCTTGGTGTGGTCTTCCTTGAGTCCAACTTGCTTGGGACTCTGTGCTTCCTGGACTTGTATGTCTACTTCCTCAACTAAATAAGGGAAGTTTTCTTTCATTATTTTTGCAAATAAGTTTTCAGTTTCTTGCTCTTCCTCTTCCCCTTCTGGTATCCCTATGATTCAGATGTTGGCACATTTAAAGATGTACCAGAGGCTCCTTATACTATCCTCATTTTTTTTTTTTAATTCTTTTTTCTTCTTGCTGTTCTGGTTGGGTGCTTATTTCTTCCTTGTGTTCCAAATCATTTATTTGAATCTCGACTTCACGCCCTCCACTGTTGGCTCCCTGTAAATTTTTCTTTATTTCACTTAATGTAACCATGTAAACTTCATTTCTTCCTGGGTCTTTTTTATGCTGTTGTCGTACTCAATGAAATTCCTTGAGCACCCTGATAACCAGTGTTTTGAACTCTGAATCTGATAGGTTGGTTATCTCCGTTTTGTTTAGTTCTTTTTCTGGGGTTTTGTTCTGATCTCATTTGGGCCATGTTTCTTTGTCCCTCAGTTTGGCAGCCTCCCTCTTTGCTTCTGTGTATTAGGTAGAGCTGCTTTGACTCCCTGTCTTAGAAAAGGCGCCTGTAAATTGTGTGGAACGGGGCCTTAGGTAATTGCCAGGGCAGGACAACCTGCCTCACCTCTTTGTGGCTCTGTGTGGGGGGAGGCCTCAGAGGGGGGACAATGCCACTGCCTGGCTTCTGGGGGTTTTCCCAGCACTTGCCCTGTTTCCAGTCACTTAATTTACTCCCCCCGCCCCCACAAAGAGGCTCCGTGGGACTGGTGCCCTTCCAGCTCTTTCCCTGGTGCAGAATCCCAGAGCGGGTGGGTCTGTATAAGTTCTAAGTCCAAGCGGGCCCTTTAAGTAGAGTCTCCTGAAAGTCTGGCAATTTCTTCTGCTACCCCAACGCCCCCTGGTTTTTACAGCCAGAAGTTATGGGGACTTATCTTCCTGGCACTGGAACCCTGGGCTGTGTAGTCTGGCATGGGGCTGGGATCCCTTGCTCCTGAGGTATCCCCTCCCGATTTTTATCCACCATACATGAATGTGGGACCACCCATTTTACCTTCTCTGTGCCATACCCTATCTCCACGCCTCTCCACCCATCTCCACATGTCTGCCCCTCCTACCCATCTGGATGAATGTGGCTTTTTTAAATCCTTGGTTATTCGATTTCTGTGTAGCTCAATTTTCTGACGGTTCTGTGTGTGATTTGTTTTGAGGTCTAGTGGTAATTTTTTCTGAAGTTGTGCAAAGAGGCAAAGCATATCTACCTACGCCTCCATCTTGACCAGAAGTCAGGTTTGTTTGTTTTTTCTAATGAGCAATTAGTTATTGGAAATAGACGTGTGCCACATCTGGAAGTGGACCAAAATAACAACAAGCCAAGTGCTCCTTCCTAGTTCAGGAGCTGAAAGGGTGCCTGGCAAAGGCACGTGGGCCTGGCTTTGCGTTGGTGGTGCTGGCTCCCCGCTGCGCCACGGAGCCATGGACGCACCTCCCTGGTTCAGCGAGTGACACTTCCATGGTAGGGCTTTTGGTACTAATGATGGAAATTAATGCCTATGCTTTTCACAGACAAGGCTAGGATATTGCAGGAAGCTTGATGTTGAATCACTTTGAACTTGACTTTGAGAACTGCCAGTTCCCTATCTGACCTTGTCGGGAAGTTCCCTAAGCCTAAGAGTGAGATGAGAATGACGTGTGGGTTCCCCTGGGAGCAGAAAAGAGGAGCGCTGATGTGACCATAACCAGTGCAGACTGAGCAGCGGCCCGGTGCCGGGTGCCCCGCTGACCGCTTTCATCGGCTCGTTCCAACTCCACACCCACCCTGTGAGTCAGCACCCTCGGATCCCCGTTTTTCAAGGAGGAAATTGAGATTCTGACAGCTTTAGGACTGGCCCCAAAGCCATGCAGTGCCTTGACATGGTTTTTAAGTAAGTTCAAAGTCGGATTAACATGCCAGAAAGGCAGGCCTGAAATATGGGAGCTGTGATTTCTTTCTCAAAATCCACCCAGACATCCTGTGAAAAGAAATATTTACATCCCAAGTTTGTGGAGTTCTTTTTTTTTCTTTCCAGTTTTCAATGGTCTTTTTCTTTTTTTTTAATTTATTGATTTGAGAGACATCAGTTTGTTGCTCCTCTTGTTTATGCATTCATTGGTTGATTGTTGGTATGCGCCCTGCTGGGGAATCAAACCCGCAACCATGGCGTCTCAGGACAACACTCCAGCCGAACTACCCAGTCAGGGCCATTGTCCTTTTCTCGTCTAGGAAAAGTCCCCACAGCTCTGCCTAGGAGCTCGCCTATGAGGAAGGAATGGAGAAGCTTTCTGGCAAACCTGGGGCCTGATTTCACTTTTATAAGAGAAATAGAAAAATCTATTACTCACCATCTAGAAGACTAAGGTATTTCCAAGTAGAATTTAAGGCAACACCACGCAAATTTTGATAATCTCTAAAAGCAGTCATCTTTGGTGGTTTCTGAGTAAATGTTAGACTCTTAAAAGTTAAGAGTGAGTGGTTTAGTCATGTAAGAATTTGTCGGCTCAGAAGGGTGGTTCTTGCGCTCTGTGCATCTGAAGTCTGTACATGGAAGACACCCAGGGCCTTCTGTGTCCACACACTCCCTTGTGCTTTCTGGGGATATTTGCTGCCCAGAGTCTCTGGTAGGGAGACAGTTACTGCCTCAGGGTGTGGCTGTTGGGTGAGTACACGGATCTGGGAGGAAGAAAGGGGTGGGTAGGAACCACTTAAGCAGTGCCTCGCAGGAATGGCCACCCTGTGGCTGAGTTTCCCTGGAACTCAGTACACGGGAGTTTCCCTGGAACGTTCCAGGCAACTTCTCGATCTGCACCCTTCCTCACAGGGCTGCACCTCTGAGAACCCGAAAGTGCTGTCGGAGGGCCTCCTCGCCCCTTCCCCCTCCCGTTCCACCACAAGTGGCTTGGGGCCTCTTGCCACAGTGAGTGACTGGCCCACCTGGGTCCTCCACTCCGTGGGACAGCCGAGGAAGGTGGTAGACATGAAGCCGGGCCTGCCAGGACCTGCTGTGGTGCGGTGGGGAGGGCCGTGGCATTTGGCCCATGCTAGTGTGGCCCCAGCCACCGCTGCTTCAAGTCATTTCCTCAGAAGCGACCTGTTTGGATTCGGTGGTCAGATGAAGAGTCCTCAGTGGCTGTTTTTTGGTCCCTTGGTAGGAGGAGAGGCCTATGAAGGATCAAAAGGATGAGGCCTCTGACCCTCCTTCACAGGCTGTCCCCACAGCTTGTCACCCCAGGGCCCACCCAGGGCAGTCTGAAGGGAGTCAGCACGGGGTCTGGGAAACACAGCGTGCTTACCGGACCCAGTCCCTGTTTAAAAATCCCCCTCAGGCAATTAGGAATAGTGAGTGTGTTCAGTGTTTTATTAACAAATGAATTGGTCAAAGAACACGCTCCCTGGTCCTGTCACCACCCCGGCCCCCATTTAGCATCCACCATGTGCTCGCCAGGGCGGTCGGTCCAACGTGCTCTGCCAGCGGAGTTCTCGGCCGCTCCCTGAGTCTTGGCTCCGACTCAGTCACCCTGACAGCTTCAGAGGGGCAGGCGGAGACTCCGTCAGGAGGGCGAGAGAGCGAGCAGCTTCTGTGTGGGCGCCAGGACCACGAAGGTAAGCCGTGGCCCCTTGCTTTCGGAGGGCGGGCAGTGCTGCTTCCTGGGCATGGCAGCGTTGCCCACGGTGCCAGCCTTCGGAGGAGGTCGGCCTCGCCGTGCGGCATTATGGAGGCACCATCCTCTCCCTTAGACGTGCTCACAGGGCAGCCAGGGGCCTTTGTTGGCGGTGAGACACCAGGGCTCAAACAAGCTTGTGACGAGTCCTTTCCTGGACACCAACTACCTCCCCCTCCTGCACATTCCTCAGAATCTACAGCTGTGAAGTGGGAATAATAGCAACACGCAGGGGAGGTGCTGAGCAAGACTACATCAGGCAGGAACACTTATTCGCTGAGCACCTTTCCTCCAAGAAACTGGGCAGCGACTTTTGCACCATGTCCTCGACTGTTCGATGACGACAGCAGGGGCCCGCTCACTCCCCCGGTCGTCAGGGTAGGCGTTTGGATGAGCTCCACGTCCTATTCCTCTAGTTTCAGGTTAAAGTGGTCGTGGATATGCATTCACGTCTTTTCATGGCACGTTTAACTAAAATGTCTCACAAACCCACTCTTTCCCTGCAAAATAGTAACAGCCATTCTGGGAGCTCAGCGCCTCCCCCTCAGTGTCTGCGGGGAGGTTGATTTGCAGCCGGACGGCAGTGGCTCCCACAGGCGGGCGGTCCCACCTCAGCAGAGCCCTTTCGAGACCCCTAAGACCAGGTGACTGCACAGCGTGGCAATGACTGCTCGAGCGCCTCCCGGGGCCAAGCCCCACGAACAGGAGAGCAGCCTCTCAGAAACAGATGAGCCGTTTCTCATCTTCAAAGCCTTTGGCCTCCTCGGGCTTGATCAAGTTTCCATTCAGGCTGTTGGAGAAAAACAAGGAAAACAAGTAAAATGCCAGGGAGTGCTGTGCGCTCCGTGTGCTGCTCACCGCCCCACGCTTCACACCGCCCTCAAGTCAAGGAATGCGCTCTAGTCACCTACTTGGTGCTAACATTAATCCTTTCTGGCTGCCATCACTCTGTGAACTAGGTCTCACTAAGGTCACCAATAGCTTTTATGAACTTGAATTTAATGACATTTTCCAGACCTTGTCCTGGACCTTCACAGCCATTCGGGTGTCCTGTCCGCGCCCCCCGCCCAACCCCAACCCCTAGCTCTTCCTTCTGGAAACACAACCTTCCCTCGGCTTGATATTGTGCCCTCTGGTTTTTCTCGTGCATCATCTGCCCAGTCCATCTCATGTTTTCCATGTGATCTCTGAGTAACGGATTTCCTCCAAGCTGGGGCGAGGCCCTTCCCCCAGGCCTCCTCCATGCGGTGGCCTTGTCCGAATGTCAGGGACCCCGCAGCCCAGGCCTCTCCACTGTGGGGCCACTTCCCTCCTTGACATCGTCACTGGATGGCTCCCAGACACCTGAAAGCAGCCACCCCTCCCCCAAGCTCCCTAGCCCAGTGAATCCGACCACTCCTTTTCCGGTGGTGCAAGTTAGGAACCTGGGATCGGCCTTGGCTCCTCCCTCCTCATCTTCCTGTTCTGCCATCAGTTCTATCTTATCCTCTGAACATCTCTAGAAAGCCTCCCTGGAAGCTTTCCATATCTTCGCCACCACAGCAGCCCTGGTCTGAGTACCCACTGTGCCTTCTCTGGGTCACTGCAAGGTCCTCCTGACCGGTCTCTTTACATGCACTCTGGCCCCTCAAGACCATTTCTGTAGAGGAGCCGGAGTGCTCTCTTACAACACAAATCCGGCCACATCTTGCTTTGCTTCAAACCCTTCGGTGGCTTTCCATGTCCTCCGCCTCCTCCCCGACGTTGTCTGAGCCCCGGACGCGTCAGCTTCTTGGTATCATGCTCCTTCCTGCCTCAGAGCTCTTGCGTATGCTGTTCCACCCTGCGTGGACCACTTTCCCTCCCACCTCGGCCGGCCAAGTTCTAGTCATCTTCTGCAGTTTGGTTTAAATGCCACTTCCTTAAGGAGGCCTTCCCTGAAACCTCACTTGTGTTAGGTTCCCTTCTCAACTCTCCCCTTGATAGCACCCATCAGGGTTGTCATTCAAGAATTACCTGAATGACTTTTCTACTGTGTGTCAACCTCACCAGACGGTAAAGCTGCGAGGGCAGGTCCGTTTGGTTCACCGCTGGATTTACAGGGCACGGCCCTCAAGCACTGGGCTATTCAACAAATGAAGGGAGATGCGGCGCAGGCCCCTGGGGATACAATGGTGACCAGGACACAGCCCCTACCCTCAAGGAGCTCACAGTCTGGAGGAGGCAGCCCCGCAGAAAGCTGTTGTAATGGAGTGTGATACACGCTAACGACAGAATGAGCAGGAAAGGGAGTGGTTCTAGGGAAGGGATCACAGGCGTGAGGGCAGCTGGGGATGAATGGGAATTGCCCTCCACCGTACCCGGCGCACAGCCAAGGGTGCTGAGTACATAATTACTGTCCCCCTTGGCAGTGGATGTGTCTTACCAAATCTCCACGATGCCAGTGTTCTTCTGCAATGCATCTGCGAGCTGGGCGAGGCCCTGCGCTGTGATCTGGTTCTGGATAAGCCTGAAAGGCAAGCATCTCTTTTGTATCAAAGACACAGTACTGAATGAGATAAATATGGCCCCTTCGTTAGGGGGCAGCTGCAACGGAATGGTGGGAGAGGAGACAGACTGCGTGGGGGAGAGAACTGAGGCCACGTGGCCTTTAATGTGCCCAAGGGTGTCACAGCCAGTCCCCCAGAGTGAAGGGCAGCCTGTAAAATGTTTATTTTTTCTGTATTTTTTATAGTGAGCTTGATGTATCTGTGTGTTCATATGGAGATAGTTTAGTACGTGAATATTCGGATGTGTGTATGCACTTGACATTTTTCATTGTAGGGGAGCCCACCCAGAAATGTTTGGAGACCACGCAGATTCTAAGACACGCATCAGGGAATGGGCTGTCAGCTCTCCTTCCAGGCGGGGAGTTAAGGAGCTACCAACTGGCCATTCTCGTCTTTGGGGGAAACAAAGGCTTCTAAGATGGGACGATGTCTTCCCCCACATCTGAGTGGGAAAGAGGAGCAACGGTTCTGGTGCCACTCATGGGCCCAGTGGAAGAGCAGCGATAATGGGGCCCCGATGAGTAAGCCCATTCCGTTGGGTGGCAGCGGCCCAAGTGCAACACAAGTTTCCGAGAGAGCGGGGCGGCCCCGGCAATCCCTGCGGCGTCGCTGGGCCGCTCTGCTGCCAGGCGCGGCCGGAAGTCAACGCAGCACAAGGCAGTGATGTGCCTTCCCCGCATCGCAGGCTCGTTCCTCACTCCTGGCTGCTTCTCAGCTTGGCCCTTACAAGTCCTGGGCACTGAAGGACCCGAGAAGGCAGCCCTGCCAGGGAGATAAGGGACCCCGCTGTTGTGATCGATGAGATTATAGAAATTAAGGCTGAAAGGGCCAACCGCTTAAAAGGCAGTGGTTAAAACTTCATACACACACACACTCCCCACTTCTCAGCTACAGATTCTTGAAGAAACAAGTGACAGCTATCTGTGTCTCAGTTGCCTGATCTGAAAATGGGAATAACTCTAAGAGAAGCTCCCTACCCCGGGTGTGTGAGGTTTCGGTGGGACGATGTGCATGAAGCAGTTCTCACCATCTGCGCCCTGGTGCCCGGGGGAAGGGAGCTCTCGTCACCATTGCTGCCCATGCACATAAGACGATGGTGGCTGTGTTCCCAGCCACACCGCCCAAAGGCTGGGGCCCCTGGGCTCAGCGGCAGAGGTGAGAACCTTCTGGTAAGCCACTGGACATTTTTGCAAAAGGAGCAAAAATAGAAATCTGGAAGTGGGCACAGAGTTCTGCTGTTTTCTAGTCACTTCCTTCACGGCTGCTACCACTGGCCTTGCCGGGGCAGGGTGAGGGGCCTCCAACCAAGACCTGGTGAGAGGCCGGGCAGGAGGAGAGCGGACAGGCCCAGCAGTGCCCGGGCACACGCGGCCGCCGCACAGCCCCGCGCAGCCGACTCGCGCTCCAGTCCCGTCCTGGCTCTGTTCTGCCTGGAGGCGCTCGCCTGGCAGCCAGCAGCAGGCATAAGAGAAAATCTAAGGCCAAAAAAAAACCACCAATGAAACAAAAAGAGGTCCAAGTAGCAAAGACTGACTTTTTTTTACAGAAACTGATAGGGCGATCTAAAATTCACATGGGAATGCAAGGGACCCAGAATAGCCACAACATTCTTGAGAACGAAGAACAAAGTTGGAAGATTCACACGTCTTGGTTTCAAAGCTCCCTACAAAGTTACAATAATCAGGATATTGTGTTGCTGGCATAGGATTAAACGTAGTAATCAGCAGACTAGAATACAAAGTCCAGAAGTAAACCAATAAACCCATACATTTATGATCAATTGATTTTTTGGCAAAAGGGACAGGGCCATTCAAAAGGGGAAGGTAGTCTTTTCAGCAAGTGGTTCTGGGACAACTGAATACCCGCATGTGAAAGGAGGAAGCTGCGCCCTTACCCCTCACACCCCGCACCACAATGGACTAACTCCAAGTGGGTCAAAGACCAAAACCAAAGAGCAAAATGAAAACACTTCAAGGAAAACTTCAGCGTAGTAAATCTTTGTGACCTTGGGTTGAGAAGTGGTTTCTTAGTACGCTACCTAAACCATGGCTGCAAAATCAAAAACTTCTGTGCTTCAAAGGTCGCTGTCAGGAATGTGAGAAACCAGAAGCAGCGTGTGGGTCTCTCTTCCCTTTTGCGGCCATTGCGGAAGAGCCAGCGGTCAAAATGAAGTTCGGTCCCTCTGTGACTTCTGACCGCAGCAAGAACTGTAAAAGGTAGTATGTCCTCTCCTCTTTCCAAAGAGCTGAGACAGAAGTGCAGTGCCCGAGGCATGCCCATCCGAAAGGATGATGAAGTTCAGGTTGTGCGACATTACCAAGGGCAGTAAATTAGCAACGTAGTTCAGGTTTCTAAGAAGAAATATGTCGTCTACACTAAACGAGTGCAGCCGGAGAAAGCTAGTGGCAAGGCACCTGTTCACGTGGGTGTTTGCCCGAGCCAGGTGGCTATCACTAGACAAAAACAATGATCACAAAAAGATCCTTGAACATAAAGCCAAATCTCGCCGAGTAAGAGAGAAAAAGGGCAAATACAAGGAAGAAACATGTGAGAGGAGGCAAAAATAAAGTAATCTTATATGCAACTTCTCTTAAAAACTTAAAATGAAAAAAAAAAATAAAGTGAAAAACCTCACAGAGAGGAAATATCTGCAAGTTATATATCTAATATATGTCTGGTACCCAGAATATATAAACAACACTAACAACTCCACAATAAAAAGGCAAATAACCGAATTAAAAAATGGGCAAAGGATGTGGAGGCATTTCTCCAAAGAAGATACACAAATGGCCAACAGCAACATGAAAAGATGCCCAACATTGTTAGTTATCAGGGAACTGCAAGTTAAAACCACAGTGAGATTCTACTTCACACCCCCTGGACGGCATGATTCAAACAGATGGACAATAGCAAGCTTTGGAGGGAATTTCGAGGAGTGGGGACCCTCCTACTTCACTGGTGGGGATGTCAAGTAGAACAATGCTTTGGAACATAGTTTGGCAATTCCTCAAAAGTTAACTGAGAGGGAGCACATGACCCAGCAATCCTATCCCTAAGTACACGTACACCCTGAAGGAAAAAAAAAAACATGTTCACACACAAGCATGCACACACAGATGTTCAGAGCAGCAGCATCCATAATAGTCAAAAAGTAGAAAACTCCAAATATCCACCAAGGTGTGAATGGACGTATACAATGAGGGAAACACACACAGTGGAATATCATCCGTCCATAAAAAGCAGTGAAGCATTATTGATACATGCTGTAATGTAAATGAACCTTCAAAACTTATACTAGTGAGAGAGCACACAGACAAAAAGTCACATATTGTTTGATTCCATGTCTAAGAAAGGCCCAGAGGAGGCAAATCCATAGACATTGAAGACAGATTAGCGGTCGCCTGGGACTCGGGGAGGAAGAGGACAGGGAATGACTGTTTAACACACACAGGTTTGGGGGGTTCGGGAGGTGGGGAGGTGAAACTGTTCTAGAATTACTGTGTTTTGCTGCGTATAATGCACACCCATGTTTTTGTGTGCATTATACACAGGATTATTATACCCATGATATGTAGTCATTATACCCATGTATAATGTGCATCCCTATTTTTTCCCTCAAAAATTTGGGCAAAAAAGTGCATATTACACATGGCAAAATATGGTAGATAAAGATGGCTTGCACAACCTTGTGAATATACTAAAAACTAGTGAACTGTACACTTTAAAAGGGTGAATTGAATGGCACGTGTGTTTTGAATCAATATTTTTTAACAGCATCCCAGGCTGAGATTCTAAGGCTCTCTGAGTTACCATAAATGTTTCAGCGTCTGGTTGACTTTGAGCATCTCTGCCAGGCTCTTGGCCACTTCATCGTTGAGTTCGTTTTTGGTGAGCCTAGAAAGGAAAGGGAGTGTTACTCGAAGAGCTCTACTTGGCATGCGTTTTATATGAGCTCGCAGGTGCACGATCCCAGCCCAGGTGCCTCCAGCTTATGCAGCTGGTCAGTTGCTGAGAACCCACAAATGGCCAGTCTCCAAGCCCAGCCTCAGAGCCCCATGGATGACCATGGGTGGTTCATTTCCAGGGCAAATTCTACACCTACAGTCTTACTTCAGTGGTGCCCATGTTCCCTCTCCATCCTCGCTGAGCTCTCAGATCTCAGAGAGGACAGGAGCCCCCAGAAAAGGAGAGGCCAATGCCTGCTTCTCAGGTGGCTTCCAGCCCCCCAGATCCCTTGAGCACCACTGACAGCAGGTTACCCAAGTTGGCCAGATAGAGACCTAGGAAAGCCTGTCAACTGCACATGAACATGTGTCTAGCGCTTCGCTCTGAGGCCAGCTGTGAAGGGCCCCATGCCAGTGACCGAAAGTCCAGGAAGTCTCCCAATTGTTCTTAAAACTAGAAGTGATCTAGATAAAGCACTGAGGGCTAGAAGCTCCAGATATAAATAGGACTGGACCCTGTTGTGCCAGTGGATGAAAGAATAAATAAAGAAGAAAAATGGGATAAAAACATTAAAATCATTCCTTGAAAGACCGCTTGGTAGTGTCTACCCAGCTTTTAAAGGTGTTACACTTTGAGCCAATTATTAGACTTCTAGAAATTGTAGTGTGCAAAGACGTACACAAGGATCTATACACACAGCATCGATTGCAGTGCTATCGGTCATATCGTAAACGTGAACAAATTTAAATATCCATCAACAGAGGCAACTGACAAAATAAATTGTGAGTGTCCATTCAATGGGACGTTGTGCAGCCTTCGAGAACAAGGTCGTATAGAGATGGGGTGGAGGGCACAGTGCTGAAAGTACAGTGGAGTCAGACATGGAGGGAGTGTGTCACCTGGGAGCGAGGCGACCACAGCGGGGCAGTTCACCTGCTCCGGGCCTGAGCTCTCTCACTGGTAAATACGGGCAGTAATGAGACAGCCCTGGCAGGGCAACTGAGAGAGAGTCACTACACGCAGGGGCCGAGCAGAACGCCTGGTGTGGTCGGTGCTCAGGAAGCATGGGGTGTGATGTTACCATTCACGGAGAAGAGTGGTTCTCAGTCTCCCGGGGACATTTGCCAATGTCTGGAGACATTTTTGATTGTCACAACTGGGGGGACTGCTGGTCTGTAATGGGTAGAGGCCAGGATTCTACTAAGCACCCCTCAGCCCACAGGACAGCCCCTTACAACAAAGAATGTCAACTGACCAAAATGTCAACAAGCATTGAAATTGAGGAAGCCTGACATAAAGGGAGATGTAAAATATGGGTGTATATGGTTAAGATTTTTTTAAAGCTACTTACGTAATCCTATTCTATTCTGTAAGAAAGCGGATATATATTTGAATAGACACACATTCAAATGCTAGAAAGGCTAGAATATACATTTGAAGACTAGAAGAAAAAGGTTATATTTGGAAAACACAAGGGAGGAGTTACTTTCAGTTCCTACTTTTCAGACTTCAGTGTCTTATATTGTTTGTTTCAAAAAGAAAAGCATATGTTACTTTCCAAAATTTTTTAAATACTTTTTTGAAAGAAAAAACATGAAAATCGCAGTAACTGCCCAGCGGGCCTAATATCAGAAGTCACCAAATGATGCCGTTTTCGTGAATTCACTTAGCCAGTATCTCATGAGCAGTAGCTTCAAGAGGGGGACACAGAGGCATGTAGCCCAATTTCCTAACCCATAAGCCATGAATGACACAGGCAAATAAATAAAATACAAACAAATAAGTAAAATTAAATAATAATGACCAAAAGAAAAAGGAACCAAAAAGGAGAGCACCGTCAGAAGGCAACACGCACTCCGTCGGCGCCCCTGGAGTGCGGAGAGGGCGTGAGGACTGCGGGTGTCCTGTGCCAGGTGACAGGTGAGCTGGGGCGCCAGGGCCAGGTGCTGACGTGGCTACCTGGGAAGGAAGGAGGCCGCACGGGCAAGGAGACATTTTAAGAGGAAGATGGAAGAAGCCTTTGAGCCAAGTGCACGGCTGTTGGCCTCTGCGAGTCACCCCTGAGGGGGTTCTGAGGCTGCTCCTGACATGTACCGCGGCCAACCTTGTGGTTTTCCTGAGGCCCAGCTTGGCAAAGAGGGTGAAGGCCTCGAACTCATGCTCCAGAGCCCGCACCCCCTCCCGCGCGTGGTTGTGCCTCTAAGAATGGCTATTTTCTTCTCTAGCAGGAAACCGTGGACCTCACTTTGAGGAAAGGCCAAGAGCCTCTTCGATGGAGAGCCAGCTTTTCTGTTAAGATTCCTGGCTGTGCGCAGTCTTTGGAATAAACCTGGAGACCCAACCTTTCAAAATGCCTCTGGTAATTACCAGAATATTCTCAGAGACGCGTTCCGCTGCAGGGCCTGCGCGAGGCTCTTTCCTCCTTCTGTGGAAATGCCGTTGAATGCCAGGCTAGGACGGAAAACATGTGAGTGGGTTATTAGGCCAGGCTTTGGCTTCAGCCACCAAAACAGCCGGGAGGCTGCAGCTGGAGGCGCCCTTCCCAGGCAGACCTGAGGCAGGAGGAAGGAGGCAGGAGGTCCCAGCCTGGCCCGCAGCCCCCCAGGCTTTGCTGCTCAGAGCGTGAGGTCAGGTGGGAAACGTGGGACATGGGTGAGACCTGGTCATGGAGCACACTGGGGGCTGCTGAGGCCAGCTCAGCATCAGGGGACGGACTTTCTCCAGGTGACCCTCTGTGAGAGCCGGACAGCCTCCTCCTGTTCTCATGAGGAAGGAGCACTGCCATTGCCCCGCCATCGCGGGTTCTCTCTCAACGGCAGGAAGGACGTGAGCAACACGGGACACCGAGGCTCTGAGGTTTGGCCAGGGACCTGAAGGGAGGCCTGGAGGAGCGTGCCTGTGTACAAAGACGAAGGGCCCCCTCTGTCCCAGTACCGTCCTGAGAATGAGGAAGGGGCAGGAATCTGCGCCCAGGGTCCCTCTCAGTTCTATCTGGACTTAGGAATTCCTCACCCCCAAAGGACATGGGGAGACATACGAGGGGCTGGCTAGGTCCTCTTGTCTTCACTTGGTGGCTAAATTGGCGTGTGCCTCTGTCAGATCACCGAGCTGAGCACTTATGAATGCACTTTACTGAATGCCTCCTCTATGTCAACAAAAATGTCTTCAAAAGAAACAAAGTCACACACACTCACAAATCCCTCTCTCCCTAGGAAAGCCAGCAGCCTCTCCCTCCCGGCCTCTCCCCGGGTGAACCAAGAGGCACACGGGGTGACCAGGCTGGCCCTGGAGACAGCGAGTGTCAGGAGGCAGCAGGTACCTCAGGTTGGTCAAGCTCGGGTGATTCCTCAGAGCCTCTGCGAAGGCCTTTGCTCCTTCATCACCGATTTGGTTGCCCCACATCCTGAGGGTAGAGCAAGACAGAGAAGGTGAGTGCACGCTACCCCTTATTTCCTGTCAGCACCCACGGCTGGGCTGTGCGCTCAGCAGACCGGCATTTCTGCTCCGTCCTGGGAGCTGTGGCCTGGGAGCTGGGGACAAACTTCTACGCCAGCCCCTTCGTGAGCTGCTCCAGACCCCAGATTCAAAGCAAAGTGTTAGGATAAAGAGCAGCAGAAGCCTTGCAAACAGAAGCCCATCAGCAGGTTATACAACTAGAGACCAAGTGTCACCCCTGACCTTTCAGAGAGCTGTCAGTCAGCCACACGCCGTGGCCATCCCAGAAATGTCACCCACAGATACAGGGGTGTCCAACCCGCAGCCCCCATTGGCTGCACGTGACCCAGGATCGCGATGAACACAGTCTAACACAAAATAAAAATTTACTCAGAACCCTTTTTTAGCTCATCAGTTTTCGTTAGTGTTTGTGTATTTACTGTGTGGCCCAAGACAACTCTTCCTCTTCCAGTGTGGCCCAGAGACGCCAGCAGGTTGGACAGCCCTGGTAGAACAATGGCCTTCCAGCGCCCACCGACTCTGTGCGGGGGTCCGACATAGTCTTGAAGGCGCAGCCAGTCTTCCGTGAAGCCAAGCCCAGGGAGCACACTCAGAAGCCTTCACAGCAGTGACCCTGATATAAAGAGGACATTCCCACGCTGTGCCGCGTGGGTTGCCGCAGGTTTGGCGCGGAGCTGCCGTGACAGAGCTGACTCTCCCTCAGAGCGGGTCCTCTGAGAGAACCAGTTAAGACAAGGGTCTGCCCGGACAGGGTCCGCGAGGTCACAGGCCGGGCTCCCGAGCAGGACCTCACATCCTGGCTCTGACCTACTACGCACACATGCTTGGGGGACTTCGTCGTTTTTTTAGGTCTCAATCCCCTCGTCTATAAAGCGGGGATAATAAGAGCATTCCCTTGTAGAACTGTTGTGAGGTTGAGTTGATACGTGTAAAGCACTTAGAACAGCACCTGGCCTATGATAAGGGTCAGCAATTCCCAACAGACGGAGGGGCACTGTCGGCGTAAAGCAAAGCAAGTCTGCCACCCACAGCAGATCCACGGCTGCTGCAGCGCAGCGTTCCCACACAGCAAGCCACCTGCTCTCCTGAGGACAGCTCTCTGTGTCTCGCCCCCACCGCCTGTCCAGCGGTCCCGTCGGTGTATTTATGAACAAGAGGTGTATTTATGTATCAGTGTACTTATGTACAAGAGGCCCAGCAGGTGCTTGCGGACACAGAACGGTTGGATCATGCACACACGCGTGCAGTTTGTCTCTACTCACCCAACTTCAAAGATGGATCTGCTGTTCTTCACGGCCAAGGCAAGGCACTTTCCTCCCTCGCTTGTTATTTTGTTTTTTCCCAGTCTGCAGAGAGAGTTGTGCACGTGTCAGCCTCCAGCTGCGAGGCGGCTCAGCCACCCTCATCCCCAGCACAGAGCCCCTCCAGTCCCTCTTGGCAGGTGGGACCTTTCTCCTGGGACCCACAGCAGCTGTGCCCCGCACGTCCCCTTGGGGAAGGGCCAGGAGCCTGGAGGACAGCCAGTCAGGACTCCTCTGCAGCCGATGTGCAGAAACTCAGCGACTCAAGCTTTCCTGGGGTTCTTTGAATGGCCTCTGGAGCGTCACTCATTCCTATCAGCAAACAGGAGGTTCCTGCTTCGCTGCACATGGCCAAGGTGTGTTCCCCACACCGGGGGCTCCTTCAAGCCTGGGGCTCTGTCACCCTTGGTAAGGTAAGCTCTTCCTTGCAACTGGATGGGTGCTATGGTCTGAATGTTTGTGCCTTCCCCAACATCCATATTCCCTAGTCCCCAGGGTGATGGTATTTGGAGGCGGGGCCTTTGGGGGGTGATTAAGTCAGGAGGGTGGAGCCCTCAGGAAGGGGTTAGCAGCTTATATAAAAGGCCCTGGAGAACTCCCTGCCCCCTTCTCCACAAGGTGAGGACATGGCAAGGCCCCATCTATGAACCAGGACTTGGGCGCTCACCAGACACCTAATCTACCAACACTTTGACCTTGGACTCTCCAGCCTCTAGAACTAAGAAATTATCAGTGTTTCTAAGCCACCTAGCTTATGCGATTTTGTTATAGAAGCTTGAAGAGACTAAGACAAGGGGGAACTTCCTTGGGGGGCGCTGGGAACTTCCAGAAAGGGTGGTACCTGCTGCCTTTACCTGCCCCCTCCCACGGTAGGTGGTCCCTCCCCCATCGAGCCCCACCCACAGGTCGCAGATCCTGCAGGTGGCCAGCTCACCTTTGCACACAGGTCTCCTAATTTCACCAATAAGGCTCCCGAAGGCTTTAGGGGAGAGCTCTTTATGGTGACGTGTATTCTTTGTTTGAATAAGGAAGGGTGACCAAGAGATGCTACTAACGCGCCTGCCACGCCCGCCACGCCCGCCACGCCCGCGCCACCTACTTCAGGTGTGTGAGGCCCTTGCACTCATCCAGGATTCTGGCGATGTACCTGGCCCCAACATCCGTGATCTGGTTGTTGTATAAGCTTTGAGAAAAAGCACAGTCACAATGCTTGGTGACTCCCGATGTCATCTTACTGACCCCATTTAAAAAAAAAAAAACTGACTCTGTGCATCTGATTTCAAAGGTCTGGGTTGAAAGAAGAAAGGAGGGGCACACAGAGACCAGAATCTGGGTCTCTGAGGTCTCACAGGCTGGTTCAAAGCCACTCTGCCACCCTCTAGCTTTGTGACCTGGGGCAACTTACAGACTGCCTCTGTGCCTCAGTTTCTCCAGCGGTAATACTGGGGTAGGAATGCCAGCTCCCTGACAGGGCTGGCATGAGGGCTGTGTGAGATCATTTCGAGCCCCAGCAGGTAAGTGCCTGATGAATGGCAGGTGATGGGCATTTTTAAATTAAGACACCAGCCAGCATCTTGGTGGGGGAAGCTGAGTATTGGGGCCTCCTCAGGGTCTGCCTGGCAGTCATTTTACCACTTGGTACCAATTCAACAACACACACGAAGAAGGTGAAAGTGGGACTAGACAGGATGCACGGGTTCCACGCTCACGCAGAACTCCCGAGCTGAAAGGCGGCCTGGCTTCCTGTCCCCATTCCCCAGGTCCGGGAATGGAGGCCCGAAGACACTGACCGACGGGCCCCAGGTGAGAGTCAACCGTGGTGTGGGGCTGGCTATCGCAAACTCCTGAACCCCTGGCCCTGCAAACCCAAAGGTTGTCAAAACTACTTTGGCAAGTGATATGGAGCTATTCGTGGTCTTCATCCCAACTGGCTTGACTGTTAATCCATTTTGCTGCAGAAATATTTAAGTATTTAAAATGGGGGATGGCCCCAGGCCCCACTGGTCATGCCCCAAGAGTTCTGCCGAGGGATCGTGGACCCATCACGGTGAAGTCTAACTCCTCAACAGTATTCTACCATTTAAAAAGCACAGCCCAAGGTAGCCTGTCATTGCATCCCCCAGCCACCGCTCATAAAGCCACTTGCCTATGTTTTCAGGATCCCAATCATACAGGTGAGGAGGCTGAGGCCTGGCACAATCTCCTGACTTGCTCGGAGAGCGGGCCGCTGGCCAAACCGAAAGCAGCGGCACCCAGGCCTCCTGGCCCCCCGTCCAGGGTGCTTCCTGATGCCCACGGCCATCGGCTCCAGCCTCCTAATCATTCACGTGAATGGCAATGTCCTGCCGCCCTGTGTCATTACTATGTAGCCAGCCTGGTGTTCTTGAGAAATACGTACCCTAAAAATGTCAGAATTTTGTACTTGGTCAGCTCTTCATACAGCACCTTGACCCCATCGTCAGTGATCTGGTTTACGCTGAGTCTGAAACAGAACCGCAGAGAAAGTTGCCCGTGACAGCGGCTGCTCCCTGAGAGGGAGCACTCATTCCACGAGGATCCAGAAGCCTCTGGAGGTCCTGGACTGTGCCGGCTATAAAGGCCACCTGAGAGCATGGCCGGAGCAACCAACCACACAGCCCCTTAAGTTAGAGGCTGGTCCTCGTGGGGCCGACACACCCACCCAGAACCAGAACCGGCCCGTCAGTGAGGTGGCAGCCCAGCCCTGATTCCACACAAGGACTACGGGGGGGGGGGCCCATGAAGGACACATGAGGACGGCCACCTCTGATATCCTGCATTTGTGGGTGGCCTCCATGCCACTCGACTGCTGAGTGTGAAGAAGCCAATTTGTGAACAAGCGGTGTGACTGTGTTCCAATAAAACTTCATCTCAAACACAACCCGGGGGCCAGATTGCTACCACAGGTTGCTGTTTCTACTAAGTTAAAGGCTGAACAGGTAAAAGCTTGATTTTTAGACCTCAGCCAACTGATCAGGCCAGACACTCTGGGCCCCTCCCCAAATGCTACCCAACTTGCTGCTGGGGCACAGTGTGCACGGACAAGGCATTTCTCCCCCAGAGTGCCAGAAGCTGCGGGTCACTCCCAATGTCTAAGCTTCCTTAGAAACAGAATCCCCCATTTTTTATGTAGGCACATGGGATCAAGTTCTGCCCAAGGAAATTTAAGCAGAAGAATCGTTAGCAATAACTGAGAAGTCTTCTTAAAACAATGGGGTGTGTCCTTCTTTGCCCTTCCTTCTTCCAGGTGGCTAGACTGTTGATTGAATGGCTGGAATTTAAGCAGCCATCTTGGGCCAAGAGGTGGACGTCAGGTAGCGAGGGCAGCAGGATCGCAAGGCAGAAGAGAGCTCAGGCCCCTGAGCGTCATGGAAGCACCGTAGCGGCCCAGAACGGCCCTCCTCCAGGCTTTTGCATGAGAGGCAAGTAAGTCTGTAAATTATCTAAAACACCAATACTTTGAGTTTTCTCTCTCAGACGTAATTAATCCTAACTGATGCCCTCACAGAGCTCAAAATGTCTCCCTGGGGTGGCCCATTCACGCCTGCTTTCTTCTCTACTGGCCTGGAGAGAAACTCGGGACAGTTGCCTGGGGCAGGACCCCCTCCCCCCAACCTCATGTGGCGTTTCCATCTAATGAGATGAGCACAGGGAGGCACGGAGCCTAAGGCTGCCTGAGGCTGTGGACAGAAACATGCTGGCTGAGCACAGAGCAAAGCCTCCAGGCCTCGCAGCCCCCAAGCCTGGGCAGCCCTGGGCTCCCTATATCCCACTGTCCCCACACAATTTATACTCTGGCATTGATGTAACAGTTACCCAAAAACAAATCCACATCCCCTCTGCTCTCTAGAACCCTGTGGAGAGAGTTACAGGTACACCCAGGCAATGCTAATAGAAGAAAGCAGACCAGCCTCTCTTCTCAAAGGATCAAACAGGAAGCTAATCAAGAGTTAGTGTTCTTCACGGAGATCCCTGGCAGCTCAGGGCTGCTGGCTTTGAGCATGGGAAGCCGCAAATGCCAACTTGCACAGAGTCTGCTTTTTCTGCCATCAGGGCTACCTCTGAGCCTCTCATAAACCCTAAAAGGTAGGTTCTTTTTGTTCTGGCTCCACCACGGCCCAGCTGTGACCTTGAGCAACGTATTAACTTCTCTCTGCCTCGATTTCCTCATTTGCCCAAGTAAAGACAATAACAGTATCTACCTTTCAGAACTGTTTTTCAAGTCAATGTATTTATTTTATTTGTTTTTTAGCTTATATTGAATTTATTGGGGTATGTTAAGAAGATTAAATCCGATAATATTTGTAATGACTTCACCCATTCCCAATAAATGCTGATTGTGACTATAGTTGACCCTTGAACAACACAGGTTTGAACTGTGTGGGTCCACTTATATGTGGATGGTTTTCAATAAATATATTGAAAACTTTTTTGGAGATTTGCAAAAATGAAAAAACAGACAAACCATATAGCCTAAAAATATTGAAAAAATTAAGAGAAAGGTATGTCATGAATGCATAAAAATAACATATTTTCTCTTCCTTATGATTTACTTAATAACATTTTCTTTTCTCTAGCTTATTTTATTGTAAGAATACAATATATGATATATGTAACATACAAAATATGCATAGGGATGGGCAAAAGTAGGTCCACAGTGGTTCATATGGAATATAATACAATGATTAATAAATCATAATATGATATTATACTCTGTGTTCCGTGTACTCAAAACTGAGAACCTACTTTCGCCCTACCCTGTATTACTGATCAACTGTTCATGTTCTCGGTAAGCCTTCCAGGCAACAGCAGGCTATTCGTAGTTAAGTGTTTGGAAAGTCAAAAGTTGTAAGTGGATTTTTGACTGCAGAGGGTTCAGCACCCCAACCCCTGAGTTGTTCAAGGGTCAGCGGTACCGTAATGGCTAGGATATGAGCATTTCCTTTTTCCAGACGAGGACCCTGAGGCTCAGAGAGGCGAAGCAACTTGTTCAAGGACCCTCAGCTGGGGCTGAGGCTTTGCTCTGAAGCTTTGCTCCTTGCCCCCTGCCCCTGGCCCCCGCCCCCACCTGCCCCGAGATAGAGACAGTGTGCATGTTCCAAGACCAGTGGTTGTGATTCCCAGGGTAACCCAGGGGACCCCGGCCCCATGATGCTTGTCCCGGTGTCCCCCCGCCAGGCCCACCTCGGCCCACAAGCGCTGCGTGGGCCTGGCAGCCTCACCTGATGACGGTGAGGCAGCTGAAGCAGGGCTGCAGTTCCCGCACGCCGTAGTCATTGAGATTGTTGTTGTCCAGGTCGAGGGCGAGCTGCTTGCGGAAGTGGTGCAGGACGAAGGAGAGGGCGCTGCAGTCGGCCGAGTAGGCGTTGCAGTAGGTCAGCTTGAGGTAGTTGGCGCAGATGCCCCGGGCCGCCAGCTGCCCCACCTTCTCGCTCTGTGTCTCGTAGATACAGCGCAGCATCCAGATGAAGGTGGGCATGGCCTGCACCTGGTTGAAGCCCCCAGACTGAATGCGGGGCAGGCTCTTGAGGTGGGACCGCAGGCTGACAAACAGGTGCGCCCACAGGGCCTTGCGCTTCCTCCTGAGGGCCGCGGCTGGCACCAAGTGGCACAGGAGTTTCTTTTTGGCTTTGGACAGCAGCCCGCACAGGAAGAGGTTGGTGAACTGAAAGTGGTCCTTGTTCTTGAAGGGGTCTTCCCGCACCGGGCCACTGTCCCCCAGGCACTGGAAAGGGAAGAAGCGGGGAGAGCAGGACACAGCTGTCACCTCCCCAGGAGGCGCCCACTCCTGGAAGAACCTGAGCAGCTCCCGAGGGCCCACCTTTTTGTCCACCACGAGGAAGAAGGCGGTAAGGAAGGCCTGGAGGGTGATGTGGAAAAACTCATAGGACTGCTGGTCCCCTCTGAGGTCCACCTCTGGCATAGCCCGCAGGAAGCCCAGCTGCAGGTCGGCCTCCTGCAGCTCCGAGGCCTGTACCTCCTCCTGGCTGAAGACGAAGAGGTTCTTCTCCATGCCCCAGTGGGCCACCCGTCCCAGCGACTGCAGGGTGCCCAGGCCAGTGCGGAAGGTCTCTGTCTGGCTCCGCGTGTTCCGCTGCACCAGGCTAGTGGGCTGCATCCTGTTGAGGTGGACTTCGGTGATCAGCAGGAAGACATCGGTCAGGGTCACAGTGCAGTCGGGCAGCTGCAGGGAGCTGTCGTAGGCGCTGTGGAAATGCTGGAAGCAGCGGAAGATGATCCAGCAGAAGAGGGGCACGGCGCACAGGCTGCAGAGATTGGGGTTGGCCTCCAGCTGGTCCAGCAGGCGGCCCTGGATGGCCCGGTCAGGGAACATCCTCCTGGTGTAGGCCCGCAGGTGGCTGGGGGAGAAGCCCCGCAGAAGCACCTTCTTCCGCAGGAGCTGCCGTGGGATCTCGATGCCCGTGCGGGCCGTGAGCAGCTTGACGGCCCCCTTGAGCAGCACCCCGCTGAGCAGGTTGGCCAGCAGGACCAGGGGGTGGGCAGGCTCCCAGGGCGACGAGGTGTCGGGCACGTGGCTCAGGTCGAAGTCCGAGTGGAGCTCATCCAGGCCGTCAAAGGTGAAGAGGGCGGTGTGGGGGAAGCGCAGCAGGAAGGTGAACACCTCCTCGGGGTCCTGCTCTGGGTAGCAGTAATGCTTGAAGAGCAGGTCCTGCAGGCTCAGCATGTCGCTGTCCTTGAAGCAGCTGAACATGCGGCAGCGGAAGTGGAAGTAGAACTTGAGCCCTGCGTCTAGCTGGCCGGCGGCCCAGAGGCTCTGCAGCCGCTGCAGCAGCATGGACTTGCCCACGCCAGCATCGCCGGAGACAAAGATGGTCTCGCCCTCCTCGTTGAGGATGCCTGTGGAGTGGTCCAGGAGGCAGGCCAGGCTGCCCAGGCTGCCCAGGCTCTCGTTGCTGAAGCTGACGAGCTCCATGATGGTGTCTGTGTACGTCTCCTCCAGCAGCACCTCCTCCTTCTGTGAGTAGCACAGGATGAACTTGGAGTTGCGGCCCAGTTGGTGCCGCAGCTTCTGGGTGTACATGCTCACTGGAGGGAGAGTGGGGAGGGTGCGGCACAGGCGTCCCGGGAGGCGAGGGGCCCCAGGAGAGGTGAAGGCAGAGAGAGAGAGAGAGAGAAGCAGAAACCAGATTGCATGAACGAGGGAAGTCTCAGGAGGAGAAACAAGCACCCAGACAAACCCACAGCCTGGACCCTGAGGCCAAGGGCAAGGAGGCCTCAAAGGAAGCCCCTGAAGACTCCAGAGCTGCAGTGCCTGCAGATCCTCAGGCCTTGACACCTCTGCCTGACCTCAGATTTAGCAGCCAGAGGGAGATGGACTTCCACTGGGATCAGTGTCTGAGACAGGCTCTCTCTTCCTCTGCACAAGTTGTCGCTGAACTCCAGCTAGAAACTGAAGCTCCTTCACACTCCGGGGCCAGGCCGGAGGGCCCCGCAGCCCCACGCCCTCCTGGGGCCCTGTTCACCTCGCTGGAGCCAGTCCCCATTGTAACTCGTTGAGGCCGAAACTGCCCTGACCTTTCTATAACTTACTACACTGCTCTGGAAACAAGTCACGATGGTCTCACAAAACCAAATGCTGACATTTTCGGTGATAAAATACAACACTGTATGTTAAACTGGATTGCAAAGGAGCCGCGCCTCATCGAAATCACCACAAGTGAGTAAACTAGGATGAAGCCAGTCTCCTTTGACTACAAGGGGCACGCCAGCCCTGTTCCCAAGCTGAGCCAGGCGTCACTGATGCTTTGCACATGCCCCCGGTGGGTCCTGGGCCTGCCCGCAGGGCAGTGGACACAGCGATGCGCTGACGGGGCTCCACTCCACGCTCTCAGCAAACCAGGGCTGTGAAGTGGGGCTCACACCAGAAGGCGGGTGGTCCTTCCCCAGACAAAAGGTGCTGCATACATTCCTTTAAAATGGTTTCTGGGTTTTAATTATAATCTAATTAACAAACATTAGACACACATGCACATTTCCCAGTTTATCTGAACGTCCATCTAGTCCAACGGGACTGTCTGCTTAAAATTTGCGAACTGAATTATATTTTTTACCACTTTTACTAAGGTATAATTTACATACCATAAAATTCACCCACTTTACAATCGATTTTGGATACTAGCCACTGATTTTTAGTAACTTTACGAAGTCCCGCAATTGTCACTAACCATCCTGTTCTAGACCGCCTCCATCACAAGCCCATTGGCAGCCAGTGTTGGTCCCATCCCTGGCCGGAGGCAACTCACTGCCCATTCGCCTCCTGCCTCTAGAAATTTGGCTTTTCTGGACATTTCATATCAATGGAATCATATTAAACATAGTCTTCCACATCTGGCTTCTTGTGGAGTGAATCATACTTAAAAAGTTATCCCAGTAGCTGGCTAACAGAACCAACAGAGAGTCCTTTGAAAGAACTATTCATTGAGGGGCTGTTTCCCTTTTCACCTGGGGGAGGGACGCGTAGGAAGGGGACGAGCCTGGAGGGCGAGGTGTGAGCAGTGGCGGGCGGGTAACTGACCCTGTCGGTTGGCCTGGTTCCCTGTAAGCGCACACCTTCTGGGCCATTGTCCTTTTTTTTATTTTCAAGGTCAAACTGGATTCTTTAAAAACCAGAGTGTAGGACTTTGGAGCTGGTACGTTGTTCGCAACTGTCTCAAAGGGGTGAGGGCACACACATGGGAAAAAGGCCCCCCAGGCCCCTGACCAGAGGGTACATTTGTGTGGTGATTTACCGTGGCCTCTCTGAGGGTGGGGACCTTACCTGGGTCTGCTCCCCAGCGGACCCCTGGCATCCAGCCAGGTGCCTTGGCACATTAATATCTGTTGAATTAATCAGTTAACTAATGGGGTGCCTGCTGCTTTGGAAATAAGGACTGGCAGCCGAGGGTGACGAAAGACTACTTCGCCTTCTTCCAGATTTGAATCTGGCAAGATTTTCAAAAGGGGGAAAAAGGCAACCTTGAATCTGTGCAGCCATGAGAACATCTACACACGTCAGAACAGGAAGTAGGAGGTCAGAACAGAGGTCATCCCCACACTTCCATGGACCCCTATACAAAGCAGACCAGCTGCATGTGGTCACTTCAGGGATAGTCCTCGGGGCTACTCTTGGGTGACAGGGACCAGCTCCCCTTTTCTAGAAGGAACCTAGCACCCGGGCCCGCGGTGGGCCAGCTTGCACGAACTCTTGAATGTAGCTGGTACAGCGTTTCCAAGCCCAGGGCCTTATCTGCTTGGCGTCTGCAATCCCCTGGGCCGCCTCGTACCTGGGTCGGTGTTGACGACAGCTTTGCTCTGAACGAGGCTGGAAGGGGAGAAGCCGACCTCCGACAGCCAAGGCCTGAGGTCCACGTAGGCGTCTGCAAGCTGCTGCAGCACGTAGAGGAAGAACTCGCACACCTCCTCACCCTTGCTCTGCACCAGGTCCAGGATTTTGCGGACCTGGTGGTGGCACAAGCATGAGGGCGTGAGCCTGGCGCTCCGGGTGTCCTCCCACTGGAAAGGTCCACCCAGCAGGCCCCGAGCTCTCGCTGCTGCCTGGACAGTCCCCCGGCCAGAGTAAGATGCTATGTGTCTAAGGCCTAGAATCTGTGGAATGGGCCACGTCAGCTAGAAATGCCATATTTTGCCACATATAATGTGTACTTTTTGCCCAAATTACTGAGGGGAAAAATAAGGATGTGTATTATACATGGGTATGACGATTATACACCATGGGTATAACAATCCTGTGTATAATGTGCACCAAAAAACGTGGGTGTGCATTATACAAGGCAAAACACGGGAACCGCACCGCTCTACGCGATCAGGAGGCTTCCATGAGCCTCAAAGTACGGTGAGGCTCACAACTAGAGCCGTGCCCACCTCTGGAATCTTCTCTGTGCCTCCCTTTCTGTTTGGAATGAATGCTATTGCTCTCCAGGATTGAGTGCTGAGGGGAGAGAGTCATCCCATAGGCAAATGAGGTGGGCACCAGGCCACACAGCGAGGGCATAACAGACCCCCATGTAAGTTATACCTTTAAAAAGGCTTTTTGCATTACTTAAAATCAGGAGAAAACCAGAGTAAGCTACTTGTGCTCTCCCCAGACATCCTTCCGGTCTCTTCTGAGCCCAGCAGGTCCGTCATTCCTCTAAGCAGAAAGGAGCATTGGGTCTTGCCCATTTTGTTTTTCAGAAGATGACATAAAGCTAGAGTGAAATCAAGGGCTGCTGAGACTTCCCACAGTGCAGTGGGGAGAATTCTTTGTGGTGGACCCGGCTTTGGATGCAGAAGCAGAGGGCCAAGCCCAGAGTCTTATCCGCAGTGGGCAGTGCCCAGCCTTAAAGGCCCCAAGGGAACGTCACTGCTCGTGTTCGTGTTTTACGCTCGTTTTCTTCTTCCCCCCTGCCCGTTTAAAGTGACTTTAAAAATGGGTTGTTGGGGAACCAGTGTGCATAGGCAGGCAAGATCTATGGCATGCTCTTCACACGAACACAGAGGTACAACACATCACTGTGTGATGCGCCCGTAACGCCGGCCTTTCTGTTCCAGAAGTGGCCGCAGTGGGAAATTCTGCCCAGTGTGCCAAACTCACGGCTCAGCACGCAGGTCAGCTGGGAGACGCCCCCCAACCCCCACCACCAAGCCCCCCTCCTGCCAGGCCAGCCCCTGCCGCCACCACACCTTGTCGGGCTGCGTGGGGCAGACGCCCACGATCTCTGCGTCTTCGTCCGAGAAGTAGTCATTCTTCAGCAGGTTGTCCAGCAGACACTGAGTGTTGTGGATGTGAGTGACCAGAAGTTCACGGTAGCTTTTCAACAACTTAATGTGGGAGGGAAAAGACTCCAATGGGATTATTTCCATCTCACTGGGGCCCTGCTTCTCCATCGTTAAAGTAGCAAGTGGCTACATATCCCAAATTCATCTTCGGCCGCATGGGTCTTCCTGGTGGAGGACAGTCAGGATCCAGGGCCCCTGCCTCTCAGTGCAGCCCCTGGAAGAAAGCAAAGGCCGTGGGAAAGGTCCCTCCCTCTCCCTTTGGTCCTGGAATATGTCTGTTCAGAGCAAGCAGGAGTCACGCTTAAGACAGAGATCTGAGATGTTAAAGAAAAAATCCTCGTTTAATATTGCTTCTACTACCATTGCTAAGATAGGGGACCAGAGGTAGGCGAACTTGTTTGTTTGTTTGTTGAGCAAAACTTTTGTTTAATCCTCATCTGAGGGCATGCTTATTGATTTTAGAGAGAAGGGAAGGGAGGGAGAGCGAAAGGGAGAGAAACATCAATGTGGGAGAGAAACATCGATTGGCTGCCTCTGTACATGCCCTGACCAGGGACCAAACCTGCAACCTAGGCATGTGCCCTGACCAGGAATCGAACCCATGACCTTTGGGTTTATAGGACAACACTCCAACTAACTAAGCCACACTGGCCAGGGCTGGTTTTTGGCAAAATTTGTAAATAATTATTATTATTTTAAAGTGTGCCTCAATCCTAGACTAGAATAGAGATGGGAAGCATATTATTTTCCATAAAACTTTTAATTGGGACTGGAGGTTTCCACATACCCTCAGGGGAGAGAGGGCCCAGAATTGGGAGCACAGGGACCGCGGGGGCTGGAGAGAGGGTGGGTCAAAGCACAAACTGGCTGGAGGAGAGAGACAGTATGAAGTCGGCTGTGTAGTCGAGCCCAGGAGCCCGGGAACACTGACGTCCCAGCCCCTATGGCCCAAGCTGAGCTGCGTGCAGCCTCCCGCACAACCCTGCCTGGCTCCCCTACACCTTCAGCCAAGTCTGCTGTGTACACGCACCTTGGGGCATGAAGGGGGCACACTGCCATGTGGGCAGAGAAGCGCCGCAGAAGGAGAGAGGGTGGGAGGGAGCGTTGGCACAGACTCCCAGGTAGTGGATGACCAGAGAGAAGGTTGTTTTAAAATATTCTGACCTCCCCTGGAAACCCCATGCATGTGCTGAACTTCCTGTATGGTTAGGAACAGGGCCCAAGCTACTTGGGTATGAAACTACAACTTGGGCCCCTCCCCGATACTCTACATCTCACTGATTGTTTCTTCTAACGGAAGAGCCTTCAGCCACTTCTGCAGTCACCTTTGCGAATACAAAAATGGGTCATAATCTTGGAAGTAGCAAAGCCTCGAACTGGCCTCCCAGTCTGTCATCTAGATAGAAAACCCGCACATTCCACAGAGAGAGTTTTGAATTTTTTTGTTGCTGTTGTTGAGCTCAAAACGAAATCTACAGATTTCTGAACACAGCCCGGGTCATGAACGTATGTCTCAAAAGCCGCGTCTGTCACATTCAAGTCCAGTGGTTCTCACTTTGTGGCCATCAAGGCACACGTGAGTGTCCTGGTCTTTGACACGCTGCAAGCCGGACAGAGATTCTCAGCAGGAGAATCACTCTCCTTTCATAACCTGAGTGACTGCGCGAGAGACACCACAATTTAACACTGTATCCAACAGAAGGGCAAGAGAGCCCTACTGAAAAGAATCTGAAGGGATGACGTGATTGATCAGTTACTATTCCACTAAGAAAAATGCTTATCTATTATACACCAATTCAGCCTCTTCTCTTGTGGTCAATTCTATGACCCACTTTAGGATCCAAGCTTTAGAAAATTGGTTGCTAGAAGAAATGCCCATTGATAATGTGAAATTTAAATTAGCGGTTAACAATACCTTTCTAAGTTTCTGGCATCATTCTTTGAAGTAAGTCGGAATATTTTAAAACAAGCTTCTCTCCTTCAGTCTCCAATGTCTTTCTGGCATCTGCAAAATCAAAGAAAAGATTGTCATGAGTGGTGAATGAATGAATGAAATTGGCCTTAGGGGAAACTGGAAGGGTAGCAGGGCTGGGGTAGTGGAGAGCTACCCCCGCCTGGGGAGAGCTACTTCAAGGGCGTCTCAGTGCCCGAGGGCGGCGAGGCTGCTTAGCCACCTGAGGGCCAGCACAGCGAAGGTGGGAGGCCTCCCCAAGAGCGGCAGACTTCCGGGGGACACTCAGTTCCTTTGCACTCATCACGCATTTGTGCAGCTTTCAGGACGTACAGTGAATACAGCCAACTGTACCTCTGCTCTCTGGAGGCTTACAGACAGTGTCACCAACAGACCCCTCCCAGACCACCAAATGCAAAGCAAACAAAATGACAGGAGGCAATGGTAGTGGAGGAAAGACAGTAAAGGTTTCTGAAGGGGTTTCTGAGGGGAACTTGGAACCCCAGAACGGAGGGAGGTCATTCTCTGCTGACAGTCTAGGGAAGGCAGGTGAGGGCCGGGGCTTAGATGGGTTCCGTGGCTGACCTGTTTAATTGCTTCTACTACCATTGCTAAGGTAGGTGACCAGAGGTAGGCAAACTTCTTGTTTGTTCGTTGAGCAAAACTTTTATTTTGCTCAACCTGACCTGTTGTCAGAATGCACGCAGTGCGGTCGCCAGGACGCCTGGGGGAAAGGATTCGCTCATAAGGGAGTCCCACCTCAGGAGAGCGACCAGGACACAGGGGCAGAGCGGGGCTTCCATCCCTGCTTCCGCCGAGGAGAACACACGCATGCGCGCATGCACGCACCCCGTCTGGCTGTCTAGCGAGGGAATCGCCCCTGGCCCGTTTCTTTCTTCCCCTCCCACTCTCCCCGGTGGCCTGAGAGGAAATGTGCATTCTTTGTAACTGAGGTGCTAAGATAAAAAAAAAAAAACCTTGCAGAAAGACATTCTTCATCTCCATAGACGTCCCTTTCTGTGCTTAAATAACTTTGCCCAAGTGTAAAAGCATTACCGGCTCACTGTGGGAAATTTGGGAGATGAAAAAAAAGTTCAGAGGGAAAAACGTCACCTGTAACCCACTGTGAACATTGTGGAGTATTCCCTTTCTGCTTTCCTCTATGGGCGGTGGTGCCCACACGGATTTTTCACACGTTCATTATCGCGCTGGAGTTGACCCCAAGCAACTCAGGGAGTAAGGGGAACCCAGCCCCCGTGCAGTCAAGAACCCACGTGTAACAGTTGACTCCCCCAAACTTAACTACTAATAACCTACTGTTGGCTGGAAGCCTTTCCAATAACATAGTCAATGAACACATATTTTGTATGTTACATGTTTTGTCTACTGCACTCTCACAAAGTAAATTAGAAAAAAGAAAATGTTATTAGGAAAATCATGAGACCATGACTGGGGTGGCTCAGTGACTTGGGCATCGTCTGTAGACTGAAGGGTCACCGGTTTGAGTCTCGATCAGGGCACACGCCTAGGTTGTGGGCCATGTTCCCAGCTCAGGGCTTGTGAGAAGCAACCGATCATAGTTTTTCTCGCACCTCAGTATTTCTCTTCCTTCTCTTTCTTCCTCCCTTCCCCAATCTCTAAAAATTAACAAAATCTTTTTTCAAAAAGAAAATCATAAGGAAAACACTTTTACAGTATTTATCAAAAAAAATCCGCATGTAAGTGGACCAGCGCAGTTAAACCCATGTTGTTCAGGGGTCAATGGTACCTGTATTTTCTGTACCTTTACCAATATTTCATGTTTCTTTCTCTTTTCAGCTGCAGAGGGTGGTCTCTCTGACAGATGCTGTGCTTACCCGGTTTTTATTTTATAAAGCATGGTAAGTCCCACCCACCACTCTTTGCACTACGAAAACCCCGAGTCTGAGAAATTCCATGTGCCAAACAGAGGAGCAAAGGTGATGCTGAATGGTAGCACCTTCCTAGCCTGGGGTGCTGGGAAGACTCCGGGGTGCCCTGGTCTCGTGCGTGTATCTCCTGTGATCCAGTATCAAGCCCTGTGTTGCCTGGGGATCCCAGCAGGGCGCAGAATGATCAGAGCTAACGCTGGGTAAGTGCCCCCCATGGGCTGAATGCCTTCCGCTCGCTGTGAGAGGCAGGGAACACAGGCTGAGATGTGCTCTCTGGGGCCAGCTGGGCTCATTAGCAAGTTAACCATTCTCGGTGTCTCCTTTTCCACAAAATGAGAGGCCCTACCACCGAGTGTTACTGTAAAGACTAAGTTAATATCCACCAAGTGCCTAGACCAGGGCTGGCATACAGCAAATACTTGGTAATTACCACCCATTTAATCTTCAATCGTTGAATCCTTAGGACTGAGTGGTAGGTGGCGGAGGTCACTGGTACTGTCAATTTACAAACCAGGAAACTGAGGCACACTGAGGTTAAGTAGCTCCCTGTCCTTGGAGGGTTTCTGAGCAGGCAGGGCAGAGAGTATGGTGAGCACGGGATATGAGAAATGAGCGGAGAGGCCCGGGGCCGTCCCTGCTCCCCTGAAGGCTTCCTTGGGTCCCCCTTGGAGCCGCCTGTAGTAGAAGGGAGAAGGGGTTAGAGTGCTGTCTCTTAGGGACTTCAAATTTGAGACATCCAGAGAGTCCCCATAACCCATACTCATGCATGGTGCGTCAAGGCTGCCTACTGCTGAGGGACAGTCTCCGTGGTCACCCAGGCATGCCAATCCTTATCCCGTGTGTCCTGATAATAAACCCCATGAACAGGGACACTGCAGTGCACCCCTGTTCCCTGAAGGACACTAGCCAACACGTCCATTCAGCAGCCGCTCCACTGTGCCAAACTGTCCAGCAGAGCCTGAGTGTGGAGGTCACCCTGCCAACGGTGTGACGTCCACTCCCGGTGGGGGGGGGTGGACGGAATTAGGCCTCTATCCCAACTGTTGGTGGTAAGGGGGCTAGAAACCTCAAGAAAATCATTTCCCATCATCCACCCTGGCTGCACAATATCACTTTTTTCTCAGATGTCCAATCGTTGAAAATCATCACTCACTCTTTTTATAATATATGCATATTTCAAAATAAATGGTACCTCTTTCCACAAACTGGTGTTGCAATCCCAGCAGATAAGATTCCTAAGAGATGAGTCCCGTTCCTTAAAACATTCTTTAACAATGTAGTAGAGGCTGATTTAAGAGTCACAACCCAGCGTTCTTTAAGCAGTGGGCGCTGTGGAGTCAGGCCCTTCTGCAAGCATTTCTGCTGCCTATCAGTTGGGAAAAAAAAACAAACAGAAGCAAAGCCTAGGCCAGCTCTGCTATGCCCCTCCCTGGGGCTATGGAATCTGGCCCAGGGCTGGACACTCTGCTCCTATGACCTCACCTTTCCCCAAGTTCTGTTGATTTCTCAGAATGTGATTTCCCCAACATGCCGCTGCTCCCTGAAGCCCTGGAGGCCGCAGGAGAAGGTCAATGATTTCGTATACACAGAAAGGATGAGTCTATGGCATGTGACTTCATTGACTACAGGACAGTTTTCATGGACTTTCCTACCCTTTCTTTGAAAAACATCACAGTGAGAGAAGTATGCTACACAAGAGATGGCTGGGGTTTTCCCCCTAAGCACCAGGTGGGATCACGTGTCTCTACCCCCCTGCAGTTCCTTGCTTTGACCCACGAAAGGTGACCCTGAGCAGGAAGGTTTCGACATCAGCGCATAATTTATCAGTGTGCAACTCGCTGGAGGTGCTGGCTGCTCCACCCCCCAGGGCCCACCAACAATGCCAATGAAAGGAGCCTTCCGCTAACTTGTGATGCACATGCAGAGTGAGAGAGAAACCATATCTTTGCTCTTCGGGAGCTACTGAGATTTTGGGATTATCTGCTGTTGTAGCACAACCTAGCCTAGCCTGATGGATACCACCATTTTGGACAAGAGCATTGAGCACATTCAGAAACGGAGACCCACTTTCCAGACGGCCAGTTGGAGACAGAACTATGGAGTGCGGCCCAGAATACTTGCCACAGCCCTCTCCCTTCCTTGGGCAGTTTCTAGGGGACAGAACCCATGGCAATCAAAGGACCACTCGGTAAAGAAAGCCCCTACCACTCTTTTGCAGATACCGTAAAACTGATTTTATTTATAGAATTAAAAGTTAACATAAAGCATCATTCCCTGCCTACCTCAAACTTAGATGTTATCTACATAAGAAGTAATCTACATTTTTTAAAAAGCTGAAATATTAAGCCACTCACACTCTTGATTTGTACTAAGGTAGCCGTATGGGCTCGCTGTGATCCCAGATGCTCTAACCCAGATGACGAAAGGTCAACTGGAGGAGACTCCACCAACCTGGTTGTAAAGCCCTGCACAGAGCAAAGACATCCACACATATCAAGGGTCGCATCTGACTCACCTTGAAGAAACCACTTCTCTCCTGAATAAGACTCATTTTGGTGAAGAAGATCCACAGCCTCTTCAGACCATTTCCCATGAAGAAGATAGTTATACCATGTTTGTTGGCATGAACCACTTGGAAAGTCGAGGACAAAGTGATGATCTGAACAGCATGGCTTCACTACTCTCAAGTTGCCCAACAACAAGGTGGGTGGACTGACGCATCCCAACGGCAATGGAAGAGCAAGCTACCATGGAGCACATTGTTATGCAAGATGGATAGAGATGCACAGAGAGCACACGGAGGGTTGACTCAGAGTGGGTCCTCCCTTCCTTGCTGCATAATCCATTACATTAGCTCAATTACGCTTCTAGGCCTCAGAAACTAAATAAACTCGAGCCGCTGCCCTTCTGCGTTGGGTCTGCACAGAACCCTGTCTCTCGTGGTTGGTTTTTGTCTTTTGTCGTGTTTTTTTTGTTTTGTTTTCCTGGAAAACAAGTCCAGTCCTGTCTGCCTCTGCCACACGAGAAAACAGCCTTCTCCAGAGAAAATTTAGCAAACGGATGAAGCTACAATTATTATTTGAAGCTTTTAAGCTCCATTAACACTCATTTACTTTAATTGGAAAGCACTTAATTCCTCAGAAT